TTCTGTAGGCATAAATAAATAAATCTTTACAAAAGAAAAAAGGAATATACCTAACAATGCCGTACCTCTAACTCAGGTGTATTTTTGAAATATTTATATTCTCGTACATTCTTCAAACTGGAAGCTTAAAATTAGAAAATATTTTGACATATGATTAAACCCAAGTTGTTTTCACATGCATGTTTTCCACTTGTCTTTTCCCCCTTGCCGGGACTCTCCCAGGTGGATTTATGGCCAGGAACAATGTAAATGCCTAACAAAGCTGTTCTTTATTCTTTATTTTCAGGATCTCTTACATATACAGCGCCAGAAATTGTGAAGGGTACTGACTTCTCCGTCACCAGTGACCTCTGGTCTTTGGGTTGTCTGCTCTATGAAATGTTTTCAGGTGATTGCTTTCGGACTGGGTTTAAAATAAGAGCTGCATGTGTGTGTGCACCACTATCAGACACACAGACACAGGCCACATGGGCGTTAACTCTTTAGTTCATAACTATTTTACCTGTAAGAAGTAAAAAAGCTGTTTTTTCTGATTTTTATATATGTACCAGTTTTGACTGACCTGTTGGATGGCTGGGCAGACTCCTAGGGCCCTTTTGACGTGATACTCATCCAGAATGTTGACATGTCCCTCGCTATTAACAACTGTGTTTGCGAGTAGAAATTCTTGTAAAAGTACCCACAACTGTGAATTACTCAGTTATGACCAGTGCCCCTGCAGCCCCACTTGTTAGGATGATAAATCTTGAATTCCAGAACTATAATCATATATGAATAGGGGAGGGAGGCAGGCAGGGTGTTGGCACAGGTGGTCTGGTGGAAGGTGAGTGAACATGTCCACACATGGAGAACCAAATGTAGCTCCCAAATAATAGAAGCTCCATACAATCCAGCTGGTCTGCTTCTGGATATTTACACAAAATACAAAACTACTAATTTGAAGAGGCATATATACCCGTGTTTATTATGGCATTACTTATAATAGCCAAGTGGTGGAAACAACCTAAGTGCCCATTGACTGATGAACAGATAAAGGCGATGTGGTCTATATACAAAAATAGACATATAAATATATATATATATACACGCATTATATACTTTTAAAAAGTGATCCTTTTTGTACATTATATGTAAATATACTTAATATATAAATATATATACATATATACACACACACACATATATATATAAAATAGATGAAAAACTGTCATTTACAACAACCTGAAAGGACCTAGAGGGCATTATGCTAAGTGAAATAAGTCAGAGAAAGGGAAACACTCTGATTTCACTCATTTTTGGTATGTAAAGAAATCAAATAGGTGGTCTAAATAAAAAAATTTAAAGTGTGCCTGGAGTGTATCAGAAAACCAGTAGTAATTGCTATATTTATATGTGTTTTTTTTTAATAAATTATATAATCTCAAGCTATTATGGTTAAGAGTTGTTTGGAATTACTGGTGATAGCAAACTGTTGTGAATTGTATGTTTTTTATGTGATTTCAGGAAAACCTCCTTTTTTCTCAGAAAGTTTTTCAGAATTAATTGAAAAGATTTTTTATGAAGATCCTTTACCACCTATTCCCAAAGGTAGGATTTATCATTATACATGCAATTGATTCAGCTTTTACACTAAATGTGCATTTTTAATCCAAAGTCTATTTTGTATTGATTCATAGACCCTCAAATTTATATTTTATCAGTAGTCTCTAACCAACATTTTTAGAAGTATTGGTATCTCCTTTGCCATTTTTTTTAGATTCTGAAATAGAAAGTAGTCCCTACTAGTAGTTGACCTCATTCAGAAAGTATCTTGTTTTTCTCTAGCAAAAGTTCTGTTTTAAAGATTGAAGAAATTCAATGTTTATTTCTTTGGTATGGTGTTCCATTTAATTTGTACTCATGTCCCATGTAAGGATTTCTATTTAGTATTTGAATAGGAAAAAATCAGGCATTGCTCAGTCCTAGTCTTGATGAATGAGAGTGTTAGCCTGATAAGTTTTAAAGTTTAAGGAACTAGCTATAAAATACTAGTTATGGTATTTTACAGTACTGGAAGCTTAATTGCACTAATTGTGAGTAATATAACTACTCTTGACAGTTTTTTTTTTCCTTTTTACATTTTTACTCTTGACAGTTTTAAGGGAAGAGAAGAAAAGCAAAAGAAGGCACAAGCATAATAAACCATTTTGTTGTGGGCTACAAAAAGTGATCTAAAGACAAAAATGAAAATAGGATTTTATA